CTTGAATGTTCTTATGCCAACAGGCTTAGAAAGGAATAACAACGTTAGGAAGGTGAGTGATACAGATCAACATAGGGAAATTGAATTTTTTTTTCTCTACAATGGAGGCAAAAAAAATTGTGTCTGGAGATCTCTAACAACCCTGTTTGATATGGAGGTAAGTCAATGATAGGTAAGAGTGAAATTGTGGTTTTTCCAACCTAAGACAGGGGCTCATGAAAATCGCATCTGAGACCTTGATAATGGGTAAGATAAAATGCTCATTTTGCTAACCTAAGATAGGCTCTCCCTAAAACAAAGAAGGGGGAACTGAAGGAGTCTGGTAATTGGAATTCTGCCTCCTGGCCTTGGCAGAGACAGGTCTTATCTAAGTTTCATTTCTCAAAGACTATCCTTGGTGGTCTCTGCAGGCGGGGTGTTCTGAGCCTGAGAAGTAGGTAGCAAGCTCCCTGTAACCTTGGGAATCAGACAGCAAACTTTGTGTAACCTTGAGTGAATTCTTGGATGCCTTGCCAGGTGGCACAGATGTGTTGCTACTGTGAAAAAAATTTGCTTGTACCCTTTGCTTTATAAGTGTTGTTTGCACATTCAGTAAACTGAGACCTTGAACAGAAAGCCTGTCTTCATCTCCATTATTCATGTCTCTGTCCCCCATTTCCAGTCCCTCTTTCAGGCAGACCCTGTTGGACTAGCCTGTGGGACGAGTCAAGAAGTGATCATCAGAAGACTCACTTACAAAAAGCGCTCAGGACTTGATGGTTTCAGCACAGAACTCTACCAGCTCTTTAAAGAATAGCTAACACCAATACTCTTCAAACTGTATCCAAAACAGAAAAAGAAGAAAAACTACCAAACTCATTTCAATGAAGCCACAGTCACCTTGCTATCTAAACCTCACAAAGACCCAACAAGGAAAGAGAATTTCAGGCCAATCTCCATTATGAACATTGATGCAAAAACATTCAACAAAATACTTGCAAACCAAATATAAGAACACATCAAAGATATCATCCACTATGACCAAGCAGGCTTCATCCCAGGCATGCAGGGGTGATTCAATATACATCAATGTGATCAAAATCCATCAATGGGATCCACCATATAAACAAACTGAAAGGAAAAAATCACTTGACAATCTCCTTAGATGCTCAAAAAGTATTTGAAAAATCCAACACCCATTCATGTTTAAAGTCTTGGAGAGATCAAAGATACAAGGCACATACCTAAACATAGTAAAGACAATATACAGCAAACCTGTAGCAAACATCAAACTGAAAGGGGAGAAACTTAAATCATTCCCACTGAAATCAGGGACAAGGCAAGGCTGCCCACTCTCTCCATACCTCTTCAACATAGTTCTTGAAGTCCTTGCAAGAGCAAAAAGATGATTAAAGGAGATCAAGGAGATACAAATTGAAAATGAAGAAGTCAAAGTAGCACTATTTGCAGATGATATGCTATTATACCTCAGTGACTCCAAAAATTCTACCAGGGAACTCCTACAGCTGATAAACACCTTCAGCAAATACAGATACAAAATTATCTGGCCAGATACAAAATTAACTCAAAAAATTTAATAGTCCTCCTGTATACAAAAGAAAAATGGGCTGAAAAAGTAATTAGGGAAACAACACCCTTTACAATAGTCACATAAATGACATAAAGTACCTTGGTGTGACCCTAACCAAGCAATTCAAAGACTTGTATGAAAAAAATTTCAGTCTCGGCAGAAAGAATTAGAATTAGAAGAAGATATCAGAAGATGGAAAGATCTCCCATGCTCATGGCTTGACAGGATCAACATAGTAAAAATGGCCATCTCACCAATAACAATCTACAGATTCAATGCAATTACCATAAAATCACCAACACAATTCTTTCAGACCTTGCAAGAAAAATTCTCAACTTCATATGGAATAACAAGAAACCCAGAATCGCTAAAACAATCCTCTACAGTAAAAGATCTTCTGGAGGAATTTCCATTGCTAATCTCAAGCTGTGCTGTAGAGCAACAATACTAAAAACTGCATGATACTGGCGTAGAAACAGACTGGTGGATCAATGGAATCAAATAGTAGACCCAGAAGTAAACCCACACACTATGGACTCCTGATTTTTGACAAAGATGCCAAAACCATACAATGGAAAATGTAGCATATTCAACAAATGGTGCTGGTCTAACTGGATGTATACATGTAGAAAAATGCAAATAGATTCGTATTTATCACCCTGCACAAAACAAAAGTCCAAGTGGATCAAAGACTGCAATAGAAAAATGGATAGACTAAATCTGATAGAAGAGAAAGTAGGGAAGAGCCTTGAACTGATTGGCACAGGAGTCAACTTCCTGAACAGAACACCAACAGCACAGGCTCTAAGAACAACAATCAATAAATGGGACCTCATGAAACTGAAAACTTCTGTAAAACAAAGGACACTATCGTCAGAACAAAACGACTGCCTACAGAGTGGGAAAGGTTCCTCACCAACCCTCTATCTGAGAGAGGACTAATATCCAGTATATAAAAAGAACTAAAGAAGTTAAAAAGCAACAAATCAAGTAATCCAATTAAAAAATAGGGTACGGTGCTAGGCAGAGAATTCTCAATAGAGGGTTGTTGGTATAATGTTCTTTTAAAATGTATACGCCTTACCCTTGTTAATTCAAATGCTGATTTACCCACCCCCAACTCCCTGGTTTCAATATGGATATTGCATTGTGATACTCATTATAAGCATCCTGTCTCAACTCTTGTGTAAACAGGACAAAATAAAGCAACTAGATACAATGTTGTGCAATGGGAGGAGCCAGAGGACAGGAAAGAGGGGAGGAGCTAGAGAGCAGGAAAGGAGTGGGAGGAGAAGGGGTAAGAAGAGAGCTTGGAGGACTTGGAGTATGAACCAGACCTAAGATTTCACAAAAAGCAAGTATAATGTGGGAAATCTAAATTTTAGGAAACTGAGGGATTGGAGGTTTAGGAGGGAGTAAATATTGCCCAGCATTGTGTTCTAGGTTAACTAAAAACCCAGTCTCTGTGTGGTGATTTGGTTATAGAGCTGCTGAGGATTAACAGCAGCATTACTAGAAGATAAACCAATAGTAAATATTAAAAACCACCTACAACAGAGGATTATAGAATGGGAGAGAAACACTTAAAGAAATGCTCAACATCTTTAGTCATCAGGGAAATACAAATCAAAACAACCCTGAGATTTCACCTTACACCCAGCAGAATGGCTAAGATCAAAAATTCAAGTGGCAACACATGCTAGAGAGGATGTGGAGAAAGGGGAACCTTTTTCTATTGCTTGTGGGAAGATACTTATACAACCACTTTGGAAATCAATCTAGTGCTCGCTCAGACAATTAGGAATAGTGCTACCTCAAGATCCAGCAAGGAGTGGTATACCACTCCAGTTAGGAGTGGTATAGCTGGGTCTTGAGGAAGCACTATTCCCAAGGACCATGTACGGATATAATCTAGAACCTCTGCTCAGATGTAGCCTGTGGTAGCTCAGTAACCAATTAGTTTTCCCTAGTAAGGGGAACAGGAACTACTTCTGACAGGAACTGAATGTCAGGCTTTTTTACCTCCCCACTCCCTAAGAGAGGAGCAGCCCTGCTAGGCTGCAGAGGAGAACTTTGCAACCAGTCCTGAAGATACCTGATAAAACAGGGTCAGATGAAATGGCAGGAGGTCCTCCCCAATCAGTGGACTTGGAAAGGGGCAGGGAGGAGATGAGGGAGGGAAGGTGGGATTGGGAGGGAATGGGGGAGTGGGATACAGAGTTAATAAAATGTAACTAATAATAAAAATTTAGAAAAAAAGAAAATTAAAAAAATAATCCAGCTATACCACTCTGAGGCATATATCCAAAAGATGTTCATGTATACAACAAGGACATTTGCTCAACCATGTTTGTAGTAGTTTTATTTGTAACAGCCAGAAGCTGGATACAGAAGAATGGATACAGAAATTGTGGTACATATACACAATGGAATATTACTCAGCAATAAAAACAAGGAAATCATGAAATTTGCAGGCAAATGGTGGGAACTGGAAAAGATCATCCTAAGTGAGGTATACCAGAAACAGAAAGACACACAGGGTATATACTCACTCATAAGTGCATATTAGATGTATAATATAAAGAAAACATACTAAAATCTGTACACCTAAGGAAACGAATCAAGAAGGAGGACTCTGATTAAGATGTTCAATCCCCATCCAGAAAGAAAAAGAGGATAGACATTGGAAGAGGGAGAAAACAGGGAACAGGACAGGAGCTCACCACAGAGGGCCTCTAAAAGGCTCTACCCTTCAGGATATCAAAGCAGATGCTGAGACTCATGGACATCCTTTGGGCAGAGTGCAGGGAATCATTGAAAGAAGTAAAAAATAGTATGACCTGAAGAGGAAAGGAGCTCCACAAGGAGAGCAACAGAACCAAAAACTGTGGGCACAGGGTTCTTTTCTGAGACTGATATTCCAACCAAGGTTTATTTATAGAGATAACCTAGAACCCCTGCACAGATATAGCCCACGGTAGTTCATTGTCCAAGTGGGTTCCATAGTAATGGGAACAGGGACTGTCTCTGACATGAACTGATTGGCCTGCTCTTTGATCACCTCACTCTGAGGGGGAAGCAGCCTTACAGGGCCACTCCTGATAAGACCTGTTAGACTAGGTTCAGAAGGAAATAGAGGAAGACCTCCCCTATCAGTGGACTTGGGTAGGGGCAGGGGTAGAGAAGGAGAAATTAGGGTAGGATAGGGAGGGGAGGAGGAGAGAGCTACCGGGGAGATACAAAGTGAATACAATATAATTAATAATATTTAAAATAAAATATTTAAAAAGAACAGGAAGGAAGAGGGAACACCAGTTAAAAAGTGGATTCTGGAGGATAAATCAATGTGATGGGAAAAGGAAGGCCTCATTGACTCATCTCTTGGTTAAAAAATCTTCAGTTAGTTCTTTCATAATATTAAGATATAAATAAATCGTGTCAACATTTAAAAATATTAAAAGAATAGAAATCAGAAAGGAAGAAGTAAAAGTATCATTATTTGCACATAACATGATAGTATATATAAGCAACCTCACAAATTATACCAGGGATCTCCTACACTGATAAACATCTTCAGTGAAGTTGCACACAACAAGCTTACCTCCTATATAGAAATGACAAATGAGCTGAGAAAGAAATCAGGGAGACAACACATTTAACAATAGCTACAAAAAATATAAAGTATCTTGAGGCAACTCTAAACAAGTGAAAGACTTATATTACAAGAACTTCAAATGTTTGAAGAAATTAGAGAAGAAATCAGAAAATAGATCTCCCATGTTCATAGATCAGTAGATTTAAAAGAGTAAAAAGGTCCACCTTGAGCAACTGTCCTTGTTGTATCCTTGAGCATCTTTTGGATATATGCTTAGGCGTGGTAAAGTTCGATCTTGAGGTAGCACTATTCCTAATTGTCTGAGAAAGCGCCAGATTGATATGTCCCTCAGTTGAGGAATGGATACAGAAATTGTGATACATTTATACAATGGAATACTACTCAGCAATTAAAAACAAAGAAATCATGAAATTTGCAGGCAAATGGCGGGATCTAGAAAAGATCATTCTGAGTGACGTATCCCAGAAGGAGAAAGAAACACATGGTATATACTCACTTATAAGTGGGTACTAGACCTATAAGATAGGATAAACATACTGAAATCTGTACACCTAAAGAAGATAAACAAGAAAGAGGACCCTGGGTAAGATGATCAACTCTCACTTAGAAAGACAAATGGGATGGACATCAGATGTAGGAGAAAACAAGTAACAGGACAGGAGCATACTACTGAGGGCCTCTGAAAGTCTCTACCTAGCAGCCTATCAAAGCAGATGCTGAGACTCATAACCAAACCTTCGGCAGAGGACAGGGAATCATATGAAAGAAGAGGGAGTTAGTATGACCTGGAGAGGACAGGAGCACCACAAGGAGGAAATACATCTGGGCACAGGGATCTTTTATGAGATTGTATCTCCAACCAAGGACCATGTATGGATATAGCCTAGAACCCCTGCTTGGATGTAGCCCATGGTAGCTCAGTATCCAAGTAGATACCCTAGTAAGTGGAACAGGGGCTATTTCTGACATGAATTCAATGGCTGGCTCTCTGACCTCCCCCCACACATGCAAAGGAGGAGCAGCCCTGCTAGGCCACTTTGCAGCCAGGCCTGAAGATACCTGATAAGCTAGGATCAGATGAAAGGGGAGGAGGTCTTCCCCTATCAATGCACTTGGAAAGGGGTAGGGAGAAGATGAAGGTGGAAGGGTGGAATGGGGAGGCAATGAGGGAGTGGGATACAACTGTGATACAAAATTAATAAACGATAACTAATATTAAAAATTAAAAATTTAATTTAAATAAAACAAAGAAATGATGAAATTTGCATGCAAATGGCAGGATTTAGAAATGATTATCCTGAGTGAGGTATCCCAGAAGCAGAAAGACACAAATGGTATATACTCTCTTATAGGTGGATATTAGACATATAATATAGAATAATCATACAAAAACCTGTACACCTAAAGAAGCTAACAAGAAGGAGGATCCCAGTAAGAAGCCCAATCTTCATTCAGAAAGACAAAAGAGATGGACATCAGAAGAGGGAGAAAACAGGGAATATTACAGGAGACTATCACAGAGGGCCTCTGAAAGACTCTCCCCAGCAGGGTATCAAGACATTAGGCTGAGATTCATAACCAAACTTTTTGCAGAATGCAGGGAATCTTATGAAAGAAGGGGGAGATAGAAAAACCTGAAGGGAACAGGATCTCCACAAGGAGAGCAACTGAACCAAAAAAAAAAAAAAAAATCTCAGCAAAGGGGTCTTTTCTGAGATTGATACTTCAAACAAGGACTATGCATGGAGATAACTTAGAACCCCTGCACAGAAGTAGCAATGGTAGCTCAGTGTCCAAGAGGGTTCCCCAATAATAGGGGACTATCTCCGACATGAACTCAGTGGCTGGCTCTTTGATCACCTCCCCCTGAGGGGGTAGCCACCTTGCCAGTCCACAGAGGAAGACAAAGGAGCCATTCCTGAAAAGACCTGATAGACTAGGGTCAGATGGAAGGGGAGGAGGACCTCCCCTATCATTGGACTGGGGGAGATGCATAGGAGAAGAGGGGGGAAGGGTGGGGTTTGGAGGGGATCGGGGAGGAGGCTACAGCTGTGATACAAAGTGAATAAACTATAATTAATAAAAAGAAAAAGAACAAAAGAAAAAATTATTAAAAAATGTTCACTTTACCAAAAACAATCTACAGGGTCAACACAATCCCCATCAATTCCAACACAATTCTTTACACACCTTGAAAAAAACAATACTCAACTTTACATTAAAACAAAACAAAACAAGAAACCCAGTATAGCTACACAATCTTATCTAATAAAAGAACTTTTGGATGTGCCACTAACCCTGATTTCAAGCTCTACTACAGAGCTATAGTAGTAAAAATTGTGTGGTACCTGCATGAAAACAGAGAGATTCATCAATGGAATTGAATAAAAGACCCACATATAAATCCATAAAACTATGGACACCTGGTTTTTTTTTTCATAGAGAATCCATCAATACAAAATGAAAATAAAAGGTGTCTTTAACAAACGCTAATAATTATTTGACATCAAACCTGATATCAGCATGTAGAAATCACCATGTCTATCTCTCTGCATAAAACTACAGTCCAACGATACAAAGGTCTCAACAGTAAACCAGAAACATCAATAGCACATTCACTAATACTGACAATTAATAATGGGGCCTCATAAAACTGAAAAGCTCTGAAAGGCAAGTGACACCATCAATAGAATAAAACTATGTCACAGAATGCAAAAAGATTTTCGACAACTTCATATATATGACACCAGGTTGATATTCAAAATATCTACAAAACTCAAGAAACTAAACATTAACAAACCAAATAGTCTAATTAAAAATGGGGTACAGATCTAAACATAGAATTCTGAATTCTCTTTAATGGCCTAGAAACACTTAAAGAAGTGTTCAATGTCCTTACTCATCAGGACTAATGGATAAGATAAAAGACACAAGTGACAGCTCATGCTGGTGAGGATGTGGAAGAGAAAAACTCCTCCATTGCACTCCATTGGTGTGCAAACTTGTATAGCCATTTTGGAAATTAATATGGTGAGATCTCAGAAAATTGGGAATCAATCTACTTTGAGAGCCACCTATACCTCTCTAGGCATATACCCAAAGGATGTTCCACCATACCACAAGGACCCCTGGTTAACTATGGTAATAGAAGATTTAGTCATAATAACCAGAAACTGGAAATGACCTAGATTGCCTCAACTGAAGAATGGGTAATGAAAGTGTGGTACATTTACAGGATGAAGTGAAACTCAGTTGTCAAAAAATAGCATCATGAAATAGATTGGGGCAGAGGAAAATGATTCTGAGGCCACCCACTATAAGTGACATTTTCTTTATTTTGCTGCTTCATCAGAGGCCAGTTCCTTGAGTTCCATTAAAACCGTGTCACTTTGATTAGGGCATCTTCCTGTCTTGCTTGTCTTGACCTTTTACACCTAGAACACATACAACAAACACTATCAACATGTAAACAAACCTGAATGAACACACAGAATAAAGGCATCTTCAGAATTTGTGAGAGCAAGCATCATTCTTCACTCATCAGGTTTTGGAAAATTTATGGTTCCTTTCAGAGGATGAAATGCTATTTGCACACTTATGAAATACAACAAGAATATCTATTTTATGGCTTAAAGAGAAGGCTTCTTGGATACAGTGTTTGCTCCACAAGAAGGATATCCCGGGTTCAAATCCTAGAAACTCAGGTAAAAAGCTAGGCATGGACACTCATGCTTCTAACCCCAGTTATTGGGATTAGAGACAAGAGTCTCACTGCTTCTCTTTGTCCTCCATCCAAACTCCAGGATCAACAACAGCATCCCCAGAATGGATAAAAATGGAGAGTGTAAGGTCAAATATCTGATGTCTTTTGGTCTCTGCACACACACACACACACACACACACACACACACACACATGTCACACATGTACCAAATTAACACATATAATTTATACTTTATGTGCTTTGCATGAAGGCAGAGTGGGAAAAATGCATGATTTTGTCTACTTATCAATAAACCGCTTTGTGTATCCTAGTAGAGTTCATCTTTTGTGTCTAGAGAAATCCAAGCCCACCTGAATCTATGAGGAAGAGTTTTATGCCAATCACAATATTTACATGGGAAAAGCCTAGTTGTCTGACTGCTTGGGAGAGAGATGATCTGAATGTTATTTCACTTTCTTTGTCACAAATCACTGCCACACAAGTACCCTAAAGATACAGTACAGGTTTTACTCACTCATTTTCCACATCTTGGATGGAGTCAGGCAGAGGCTGATTCTTGGTCTCAGGAAGAAGATGGGGAAGAAGGCCAGAGAGAATGGAGAGGACTCCATAGATGATCCAGGGCAACGAGGCATAGTATATTGTGAGCATCATAAAAAGTGGAGCCAGGGATGCCCCCAAGTTAGCAGCAGTTCCAATGAATCCCAGTGCTGTTGCCCTTGGAGCATAAAACATAGTTGAGGGAAAAAAAAACCTAGAAAACTTGAACTTTTGGTATTGTGACACAGAACCTTGCATTAATCATGGGAGTAAAAGTGAAGTATATTTCAACTCAAAGTTGGTGATGTCCTTTCCTTTGGAGATTTCTTTTTTCGTTTGATAGTATGTTTTGGCAAGGCACTTGTAACACTAGCTCAGAATGATAAAAACCACATTTTCTGTCATGTATAAATATTACATTTTGGTGTTTATATTAGTGAGTGTGTGTGTGTGCATTTGTGTGTGTGTATGAAAGAGAGAGAGAGAGAGAGAGAGAGAGGCAGCATGGGTATTTGTATGGAATCAGCAAAGTCAACATGAAAGAGGGAGGTAAAAATCCCCAAAGGAGATCATGATAGAGATTTCTGCAGCCTAGGAGAGTGCTAGGTGACCAGATCTCCAGATTTTTAGGACCACTGAGCTGTGGCTGTGGGTAACCATACCCAAGTTTCTGAAAGAGTATAGAATGCCATGTGCTCAGGCATCCAGATAGTACAGGACAGACAGCACAAGTTACATAGGCCTCCAGCTAATGTAAAGTCAGAGACCAGCAACCTGGTCTCTAGCATTGTGCCCCAAGTATTCAGTGTGTGTGTCGCGTGTGCTGAGAGATAAGAGCTTTGGTTCCAGTGATCTCTGAGGTCATTATGGGGCAAAGTTTTGATGTTTCCAGTGTTAAATATCACTCTAGGACCTGCAGTCTATAGTTCTGTAGTGTTAAAGGTTACTTTGAGCTGTTATACACAGCTTTCTGATAGTGGGCAGACTTCACATGTTAAGTTTGGCATCTCTCCTTCAGCAAGTCCATAGACTCTAATATTCTAAGATTTTGATTACATCTGGTCACCTTGGTAGTTAGTATCCAGCGCCACCCTTGGTCCTTAGCACAGAGCCATGACAACTTCAGTAATTCATCTGTGAATATCATTTCATCAGTTCTTGTAGCTGAATGCCCCATAGACATTCCTTTAAGAAGAGTCACATAGAATGGGAAATCCAAATAGTCTCTGGGATATATCCAAAAGGCCAAGCATGACAATTCATGGTGTACAGGAAGGAGAACAACAAAATGTCATGGAATAGTCAGACCATTACGTAAAAGTAGCAGAAAATCCTCTAAATAGTACAGAAAGGAGACATCCACATTCAAGAGGTGCATATACTCCCAACAGATATAATCAGAAAAGAAGTGCTTAAGTGACACATTACAGTCAGGATGCCAAAATGCAAAGTAAAGACAGAATCCTGAAAGCAGCAAGAGAAAGACATCCACTCACATACAAGGACAGAAATGTCAGAATTACCCGAACTGTTGCCAGTAATTTTAATACCCAGGAGACCATCAAATGAAATATTTCAAGTTTTGAAAGTCAACAAGTGTGAGCCAAAAATGCTACAACCACTAAAGCTATTTTATTTTTTAATTTTAATTTTTTATATTAATTGCAGTTTATTCACTTTGTATCCCAGCTATACCTCCATCTTTCATTCCCTCCCAACCTCAACCTTCCTTCCTCATCATCTCCCATGCCCCTCTACAAGTCCACTGATAGGCGAGGCCCTCCTCCCCTTCCATCAGACCCTAGCTAATCAGGTCTCATCAGGACTGGCTGCATTTCTCCCTCCAAAGCTGTTCCCCTCTTTGGGGGGGGAGGTGATCAAAGAGCTAGCCACAGAGTTCATGTCAGAGATGGTCCCGTTCCCCTTACTAGGAAACCCACTTGGATGCTGGACTGCCATGGGCTACATCTGTGAAGGAGTTCCAGGTTATCTCCATGCATGGTCCTTGGTTGTAGTATCAGTCTCAGAAAAGATTCCTGTGCCCAGTTCTTGGTTCTGTTGCTCTCCTTGTGGAGCTCCTGTCCCCTCCACATTGTTCTATATCCCCCTTCTTTCATAAAATTCCCTGCACTCTGCCCAAAGTTTGGCTATGGTCCTCAGCATCTGCTTTGTTACCCTGCTGGGTATAATTTTTCAGAGGCCCTCTGTGGTATTCTTCTATCCTGTTCCCTGATTTCTCCTTCTTCCTATGTCTGTCCCCTTGCCTTTCTGAGTGAGGATTGATCATCTTACCCTGGCTCCTCCTACTTGCTTAGCTTATTTAGGTGTACAGATTTTAGTATGGTTATCCTATATGATAAGTCTAATATGATTTATGAGTGAGTATATACCGTGTGTGTCTTTCTGCTTCAGGGATACCTCACTTAGGGTGATCTTTTGTAGATCCCACCATTTGCCTGCAAATTTCATGATTTCCTTGTTTTTAATAGCTGAGTAGCATTCCATTGTGTAAATGTACCACAATTTCTGTACGCATTCCTCAGTTGAGGGGGTTCTGGGTTGTTTCCAGGTTCTGGCTATTACGAATAAAGCTGCTACAAACATGGTTGAGCAAATGTCCTTGTTGTGTACTTGAGCATATTTTGGATATATGCTCAGGAGTTGTATAGCTTGATCTTGAGGTAGGTACCTCTATTCCCAATTGTCTGAGAAAGCAACAGATTGATTTCCAAAGTGGTAGTACAAGTGTATATTCCTACCAGCAACAGGGGAGGGTGCCCCTTTCTTCATGTCCTCTCCAGCATGTGTTGTCACTTGAGGTTTTGATCTTAGCCATTCTGATGGGCATAAGATGACATCTCAGAGTCATTTTGATTCGCATTTCCTTGATGACTAAGGAGGTTGACTCATTTCTTTAAGAGTTTCTCTGTCATTTGATATGTCTCTAATAGAGAATTCTCTGTTTAGCTCTGTACTCCATTTTTAATTAGATTACTTGATTTGTTGCTGTTTAACTTCTTGAGTTCTTTATATATTCTGGATATTAGCCCTCTGTCAGATATAGTGTTGTTTATTTTTTACAAAAAGTTAAAACCATACAATGGAAAACAGACAGCATCTTCAACAAATGGTCTAACTGGATGTCTACATGTAGAAAAATACAAATTGAACCATACTTACCACTCTGCACAAAACTAAAGTCCAAGTGGATCAAAAACCTCAACATAAAACCAGACACACTAAATGTTAGGAAAAAAAAATGGGGGAAGAGCCTTGAACTCATTGGCACAGGAGACAACTTCCTGAACAGAACACCAACAGCACAGGCTCTAAGATAAATAATAAATGGGACCTCATGAAACTGAAAACCTTTTGTAAAGAAAAGGACACTGCCATCAGGACAAAATGACAGCATACAGACTGGGAAAGGATCTTTACTAAAGCTATTTTCAAAATTGATGGAGAGATAAGGGTATTTCAAGATAAACACAAATTAGGGTGATTCATGACAACTAAGCCATCACTGCAAAAAGTTCTTGGAATGATTTGCAAAGAGGAAGATGAAAGATAGTCTTCTTGTGAATACACGTAAGCATATAATTTATCAAAACCACAGACAAACAAACTATATTTGGTAAAGAAACAACCACGTCTAACATTACAACTCAGCAAACCCTCTAAAGTCATACTGTGGGGAGAAAAGAAATATCAATTGTTTGGAGCCAGTCCAGTCCACGCCTTTTACAGAGGCTCTGTGGAAGGACCAAGCCAATGCTAGTTCTGTGTCCTTGTCAGTGGGCATAGTTGGCAATTTCCTGTCTGGAGCTGGGTCTTAGCAGTCCCAAGGCTGCTAGGTGACTGGTCTGTGAAATACTGAAATATTTTTTAAAAGATTTATTTATTTATTATTTATACAACATTGTGCCTACATATGTGCCTGTAAGCCAGAAAGAGCGCACCAGATCACAGTATAGATAGTTGTGAGCCACCATGTAGTTGCTGGGAATTGAACTCAGGACCTTTGGAAGAACAGTAAGTGCTCTTAATCACTTAGCCATTTCTCCAGCCCCCCCCCAAGAAATATTGAAATCTTGTTGCACAACATTTCTTGATTAGTTTCCTGCTAATCATCCCATTTTGTGACAGCTTTCTGCTGACTCTATTCCATTTCTCCTCTGCAAACAGTATATAAGATGCGGAACGTCTCAGTAAACTTGCTGCCATGAATCATCAGTTTTTTTCAGACCTCTGGATCTAAGATTTCTGTCTGGAATGGGCCAAGCAGACAAAGTTATGGCAAGGAAGTAAGCTTTCTGAAGGCAGCCCACCATATTTGCATGGCTTTGATGAATTTGCCCTTGTAGGGCATGCACCCCAGGAATTTTGTCTCCTGATTGCTTCATACTGTTGATAGGCCTTTCCATGCTTGCCATTACTGTATCCCTCGTATATATGCCATAGTGTGGAGAGACTCTCACTACCTATTCTTTTCCCAGACATTTAACCACTTTGTTGGGCAAATTTTCTGCAGATCAATATGAAGATGTACTTTTATGAAATAATACTGTTTAGAGGAATTGATGATTTTATAATTCCTAATAATGATTTTATAGAATCCATCATATGAGTCAAGCAATTTTTAACCTTCTTGTAGAATAGCAAAAACTGCTAAGAGTTCTGTGAATTTTCATATGCCACAGGCCACTTAAATTTCATTAGGGAGAGAACAGATTTGAGGCAAATTTAAAATCCAGGAAAATATTTAATCTAGGTACAAAGATGAGGCCACACGCCTTGCTTTGCACCAAGAATATGGAAAATTATAAACTAGGAATAGATGGTTTTATTATGAGTATAAAAGAAAAAATGATAATTAGTTGTACAAGACTTCAAAAATAAAACATAAAATAGATGACCTCTTTATTGGTAAAAATCCTTGTTAATCTGTAACACAGAAATATTGCTTTGAACTTATAATGATATTGTGGAATGAGAGACAGATAAAAATATTAGTTTCTAACTTACTTTTATTAGTTTATTTATTTATTTTCTCATTTTTACAATTTATTCACTTTGTATCCCAACTGCAGCACACACCCTCATCCCATCCTAACCCTACCCTCCCTCCATATTCTCCTCCCATGCCCTTCCCCAAGTCCACTGTTTGGGGAGGTCTTCCTCCCCTTCTATCAGGCCCTATCCTATCAGGTCTCATCAGGACCTGATGCATTATCTTTCTCTGTGGCTTGGGGTGGCTGCACACCCCTCAGAAGATAGTGATCAAAGAGCCAGCCACTGAGTTCATGTCAAAGACAACTCCTGCTCCCCTTACTAGGGTACCCACTTGCAGGCTGAGCTTCCATGGGCTACATTTGAGAAAGGGGTCTCAGTTATCTCCACACATGGTCCTTAGTTGGATTATCATTCTTTGCAAAGATTTTTTGGTTCTGTTGGTTTCCTGTCTCCTCCATGTCTTTCTATCTCCCTCTTCTTTCATAACATTTCCTGTACTCTGCCCAAAGTTTGGCTATGAGTCTCAGCATCTTCTGATACCCTGCTGAGTCAGGTCTTTCAGAGGCCCTCTGTGGTAGGTGCCTGTCCTGTTCACTGTCTTCTCCTGCTTATGATTTCTATCCCATTTGTTTTCTGAGTGAGGATTGAGCAAATTCCCTAGGGTCCTCTTTGTTCCCCTTCTTTAGGAATATAGATTTTAGTATATTTATCCAATATTATAAGACTAACATCCACTTATAAGTAAGTATATACCATTTGTGTCTATCAGCTTCTGGGTTACCTCACTCAAGATGATTTTTCCTAGTTTCCACTATTTGCCTGCAATTTTACAATTTCCTTGTTTTTAATTGTTGAGTAGTATTCCACTGTGTAAATGTACCACAATTTCTGTATCCATTCCTCACTTGAGGAACATCTGGGTTGTTTTAAGATTCTAGCTATTGTGAATAAAGCTGCTATAAACATGGTTGTTCAAATGTCCCTGTATATTTGTGAATATTTGGATATATGCCTAGGAGTGGTATAGCTGGTCTTGAGGTAGCCCTGTTCCTAATTGTCTGAGAAAGCATCAGAGTGATTTCCAAAATGGTTGTACAAGTTTACTTTCCCATCAGCAATGGAAAAGGGTTCCCCTTTCTCCACATCCTCTCCAGCATGTGTTGTCCCTTGAGTTTTTGATCTATATTTTACTATATTTTACCTTTTTATTAAAAAGTTTGGTAATATCAATGAATAAGCCTGAATAATCACCCTGAGAAAATTGTCAACATGTCTTCAAAAGCAATTTTTTCTTCTTGCTCTTTGTTCAGATGCCAATTCCAGAAGTTCCTTAAAACCTTGTGACTTTAATGATGGGATCTTCCTTCTTTGCTTGTCTTGAATTTTTATACCTAGAACACACACAACAAAAATGATAAATGTGAAAACACAACTGATAAAATGTAGAGAAAGGGAAGTAGACAATATGTTTTTCAGAGAATGCTCCCCTTTCACCCTTCACCTTTGTAACAATGGCTAATTCCAGAGATTTTGAGTCAATCTTGTAAAATAAGTTTTGTGAGTCAACTTTGGGACTTTTTATGTTGGTTATAATGGGATTATATACTGGGTTTTGGAAGAAAGTATTTGAAGCACAGAAAAATGTTAAAATTGATTCCCTCTGTCCTTGTTATGATCCTTTTATTGATGTGTCCTTTATTCTCTACCATGAACACTTTCATTTCTAGAGAAACCAAGATGATCTGAATGTCACAGCAAATGGAAAAGTGCTTCCCTTAGATGCACTGACATCTATGGCAGATCGTTTAGTCTTTTATGCCATTTCCCCTAAGTTATTCAGTGACCATTGCAGACTCAAGCATATAGAGTTTGTCAGTTTCAGACAGCTTATCAGCATTTACTAAGCTTAATGGTAACTAGGTCTGAGGGATAAATAATATTTATATTTTTTCATACATATATGCTTATAGTATATTACAATATTTATATCATATATATGTTGATATATATCAGAAGTATTATATACCTGATATTTGATATATAGAATATATGAGATAGATATATACCATTCATATATATACCATTCATATATATGATATATCTGATATATCAGAAAAGAGAGACCAATGAATTTGTCCTAGCATGGCTTGGGCTTAGGTAGACTTTGTGAACTAAAGTATTTCCAAGAACATCTGAATCCACAGTATATACTGATTAACAAATACCCTCATTCAAAGATGGTGACCACAATGAAAATAAATGTAAGTGTTAACATATCTAGGAGATACTGTCTCCATTCAAAGGTAGTGACCATAATTTAATAAACCCAATTTATCCCATTGTTCATTGCTGCTTTGCCTCCCTTAGCACAGTACTTTGGCAAACAACCCCACTAAAGGACAGAGAATGATTTTACTCACTCATTTCCCACATCTTGGATGGATTCAGGAAGAGGTAGATTCTTAGTTTAAGGAAGAAAAAACACAATAAAGGGAGAGGAAATGGAACAGCCTCCATAGATAATCCAAGGCAAGAAAGTAGAGTATGTTGCTAACATCATAACCAGAGGAGCCAAGAATAACCCAGTATTACCAATCACTGCAATGATTCCTAGAGCTGTTGCCCTTGGAGCAAGAACACAATGCACAAAAATTCTGGTAAATACACATACTTGAAACATGTGGCTTAGGATCATATGTTAATTCTGGGAGTCAGAAACCAGTGTGATTAAATTTAAAGATCTTGGTGACTTACTCTTACTTCTCAAATTTGTTTCATTTGGTAATATTTTTTCATTAGTTTTATGATATAAAGATACTTGTTTACTAAACACAATGAGACAGAAAGAGTAATACTCTATTTTTTACCTTAACTGTAAATCTTATATTTTACCTTTGTGTGTGTGTGCACATGTGTGAGTTATGAGTATTGGCTCTGAAACTGGGACAGGGATATTAAAAAGGAAAGAACAGGTCTCAAGAGAAATAAGAGTTTGAGTGTAAATGTGATGTGAAAAGTAAAGGGGTTTCCTGAGCAGTGGAAGTGGACCAGGAGGGATGTCAAGTTGGATCAATAGAAGGAGTCTCTGTGATAATGTTATGCATCTAATTACATTGTATGCCAATTTAAAGACCTGTTTTCTCAAAAGATGGAGTATGAGAGCATTCAGTTGGGAAGAAGAGTATACAAAGTAGAAATAATAGGATGATCAGAAAGAATAATGAAAATGAATATGATAAAAATATATTCCATACCTGTATGAAATTCTTCAAATATAATAAAGATAAAGAAATTTATAGCATGCTGTTTTTTATGGATCATGCCAATTCAGTGGCTCCAAATGCTTACATGAGATGCTAAAAAGCAGGGCTTTAGTATACTTAACTATGTGAACACGAAGTAAATTTTCAGCATACGATAGCTACACACTATTATTACAACTGATTGTATAGATAACTATACAGCCTTTATTTTTCTTCCTTAAGTTATATTAAATGAATTGAGAAGTCTATTCTATGCCTGACTTGAAACTTGTATCTTAATGTGGTGGGGAGTAGCTCATTTGCATGTAGATGAAAAGCACCAATACATATGGAAGAAATTGCTCCTGCCACTGTGGCCATAATAATACGCAAGATCTGCATCTCTGAAGAGTGAAGACCAAGGACAGTGGTTAGTTCATCTTGTCCAGAGTAACTTGTAGTTCTTAATTCCCAAACAAAAAGACTATCATAAGAGATGTGTATGTGTGTAAAATACAAAGGGGAGAAACTACACAAAGGGAAATTCCTCAATGGCTACTAACTTGAGAAAAGTAACATATTTGTTCATGTTCATGAATCAAAGCTTTTTGATTAATTCATGTGGGTAATCAAAGCTTTCAAACAACTCTTTTTATTACTTCAAGTGTCAGAAAGTGGTATGTCTAGGGGGCATTCACTTTCCTTATTCCTCTTTAGGGTCTCATTGGTCCTTCATGCAGAATATGAGACTGTCATGGGGAAAACATGGAGGAATCTAAACACTTTCACAATCTTAGGCAAGTGCAATCTATGGTAAATATGAGTTAATACAAAAAGTATCATGTAAAAACTGGAGTCCTACAGAGGGCTAATATCCAGTATATATAAAGAACTAAAGAAGTTAAACAGCAACAAATCAAGTAATCCAATTAAAAAATGGGGAACAGAGCTAAACAGAGAATTCTCAATAGAAGAATATCAAATGGCTGAAAAACACTTAAAGAAATGCTCAACGTCATTAGCCATCAGGGAAATGAAAATCAAAATGACCCTCAGATTTCACCTTACACCCATCAGAATGGCCAAGATCAAAACCTCAAGTGACAACACATGCTGGAGAGGTTGTGGAGAAAGGGGAACCCTCCTCCACTGCTGGTGGGAATGTAAATTGGTACAACCGCTCTGGAAATCAATCTGGCACTTTCTCAGACAACAAAGAATAGTGCTTCCTCAAGATCCAGCTATACCACTCCTAGGCATATATCCAAAAGAGGCTCAAGTACACAATAAGGACATTTGCTCAACCATGTTTGTAGCAGCTTTATTTGTAATATCCAGAAGCTGGAAACAACCCAGATGCCCCTCAACTGAAGAATGGATACAGAAATTGTGGTATATCTACATAATGGAATACTACTCAGCAATTAAAAACAAGGAAATCATGAAATTTGCAGGTAAATGGTGGGATCTGGAAAGGATCATCCTGAGTGAGCTATCCTAGAAGCAGAAAGACACACACGATATATACTCACTCATATAGACATATAATATAGGATAAACCTACTAAAATCTGTATACCTAAAGAAATTAATCAAGAGGGAGGACTCTGGCTTAAATGCTCAATCCCTACTTTGAAAGGCAAAGAGGATGGACACCAGAAGAAGAAGAAAACAGGAAACAAGTTAGGAGCCTCCCACAGAGGGCCTCTGAAAGGCTCTTCCCTGCAGACTATCAAAGCAGATGTTGAGACTTATGGCCAAACTTTGGGCAGAATGCAGGGAATCTTATGAAAGAAGTGGTAAATAATAGTAAGAGCTGGAGAGGGCAGGAGGTCCACAAGGAGAGCAACAGAACCAAAAACAATGAGCACAGGGGTCTTTCCTGAGACTCATACTCCAACCAAGTACCATGCATGGAGATAACTAGACAGATGTAGCCCATGGCAGTTCAGTGTCCAAGTGGGTTCCATAGTAATGGGAAGAGGGACTGTCTCTGACATGAACTGATTGGCCTGCTCTTTGATCACCTCCCCCTGAGGGGGAAGCAGCCTTACCAGGCCACGGAGGAAGATAATGCAGCCACTCCTGATGAGACCTAACAGACTAGGATCAGAAGGAAGAAAAAGAAACCCTCCCCTACCAGTGGACTTGGAGAGGGGAGTGTGTGGAGAAGGGGGAGGAAGGGAGGTATTTGGAGGGGAGGAGGGAGGAGGGAACTGAAGGGGGGATACAAAGTAAATAAAGTTTAATTAAACATTAAAAAAGAATAAAAGAATTGGAAAGAAAAAAGAATAAAAATGTGGCTATAATCAAAATAAAGTTTTTAAAAATCAAAAAAATTGTAAAAAGCACAATTCAATTAAACTTAAATTCAACTTTACACCATAACAACTTCAGGAGTCCTTAAGTTAAAATAAATGTGTCAATTTCTTTTAAATTACAAAGCTAGGGATATAAAACTTGATGTTTTGCATTAAATTTGTAGAATTTTAAATAAAAAAACTGGAGCCCTATATTTCTGGAGAATCTGTAATAATTTGGAATCTACCTCAATAATAAGGATTTCTGCCAGTAGAATGTCAGTCTCTAAGTAACTTTCAAGGAAAGTTTCTAGAACTGTTTTCCAACTTTATTTTAATAGGGGAACCCTCCCCACTGATGGTGGGACTGTAAACTTATACAACCACTTTGGAAATCAATCTGGTGCTCTCTCAGACAATTAGGAATAGTGCTTCCTCAAGATCCAGCTATACCACTCCTAGGCATATATCCAAAAGAGGCTCAAGTACACAACAAGAACATCTGCTCAACCATGTTTGTAGCAGCTTTATTTGTAATAGCCAGAAGCTGGAAACAGCCCAGATGCCCCTCAGTTGAGGAATGGCTACAGAAATTGTGGTACATCTACACAATGGAATATTATTCAGCGATAAAAAAAAAAAACAAGGAAATCATGAAATTTTCAGGTAAATAGTGGAAACTGGAAAAGAGCATCCTGAATGAGGTATCCCAGAAGCAGAAAGACACACAGGTTATATACTCACTCATAAGTGGATATTAGACATATAATATCGGATAAACATAAAATTTCAAACACTGGAATGCACCCTGAGTTAAGTGGTTGCATGAATAAAAATGACTTCAATAAGCTCATATATTTGTATGCTTAGTCACCATGAAGTGGAAACTCTTCAAAAAAATTAGGAGTATTATCAGGAGTGGTTTGGTGGAAAAGTGTGTCACAGTGGGTGGGAACTGAGGTGTCAAAAGCTCATACCAGGGCCAGTCTCTCTCTCTCTCTCTCTCTCTCTCTCTCTCTCTCTCTCTCTTTCTCTCTCTCTCTCAGCCTATGATCAGGATGTAGCTCTTAGCTACCTCTCCAGCACCATACTTGCCTCTTTTCATGCTCCATGCCATCATGGTTCCTACCATAACAATTGGACTAAACCTCTGCAACTTCAAGCAAACTCCCATTTAAATACTTTTTCTCATAAGGATTGCCTTTGTTGGATATAGTATCTCATCACAGCAATAAATAACCGCTCAGACAGATACTTACAGCAGAGACTTGGGTGACAATGTTTCTGACAAACCTGACCATGCTGTTGATTGGAAGAATACTGAAACATTTGGGACTTGGACTAGAAGAGTGGTTGTATTCTTTAAGTGGGGCTTAATGGGCCATACTAGTAGGAGAATGGCTGATAGTGCTAAGGGTTATTTGAACTGTGGGGGCCCAGGTCAATGGGTTTCAGAGGGGAAGAATCCTAGTAACTGGCCTAGAGATCATTCTTATGATTTGGAGCAAAGAATGTTGCTGTTTTTTGCCCCTGTCATTAAAAAAAAATCTGCTTTAGGCTAAATGGTTTTGCATTAATGCTTTGACAGTTGATATTACAATACAGCCAAATATTGACTGTGTCATGTGGTTATCAGTTGTCACTCTTACACAGGCCTACATGAAAAGGAGAAAGAAAAATGCAAAATGTACAGCTTGAGGAGAAAATGAGCACCAGGAACTGTAATGAAATAGTCCAGTGCTCAAGAAGATAAAAAGTTTACAGAACAGTCTAGTGCTGGATGGAATAAAGGGAGTGGTAAACTCAGGGAAAGACCCCATCCAGCTAAGCTTCCAATTTTTCAAAAAGAATTAGAGAAAATCTTAAGTTGTAAAGAAGACCATCACCCAAAGACAGCTGATGCAAAAGTAACTGACCAAGGTGGGACAAATTCCAGCACCTCAAACAGCCAAACTTGGAAGCTTCAGCCACTTAGGTCTAGACTAAGAGTCAAGGGTAAAATAATGGGGTGGTGGACTCTTCCTCCATGACTGAGAAAAGCACCTGAGTCCAAGCATGTGTCAGGAGTTGCCTTGCATGAAGACCATGAGAGATCATTGCCTGACGCTTTGAAGGGGAATCCTGGATTCATCTGAGTATGAAGATGACAGAGTCATGGGATACATATCAAGGGGAGCTGTAGAACAATAAGGGAACCAGACCAAGAGAGAGATGTATGGGATACATGCCAATGGGAGCTGTTGAACAAGAGTGGAACCAGCCCAAGAAAGGGATGTGTGTTGAAACCAAAAAGGATGAAAGGAGTTGAGGATCAGAAGAATATTTGAGATCAGACATGAAGATGCAGAATTTGGAGTTTTCCCCACTCATTTTCACTTGCTTTGGGCCAGTAGCTTCTCACTATGCTCCATTTTTTTAACCTTTTGGAATAGTAATGTGTATTCTGTGCCATTGTATGTTGGATATATGTCATCCTGCTTTTTTTTCTTTGAAGTTACAAAAGGTTACAGTTAAGAGATTGCCAGGAGTCTCAGAAGAGATTTGAACTTTGGACATTTAAACAGTTTGGGGACGGTGATAAAACTTTGGAACTTATGAATTTGGACTAAATGGTTTTTTTTTTTTGTATTATGATGTGGGTACAAGCCTTTGAAAGCCTTAGTCACCCAGGAGTGACATTATTGGAAAAGAATAGAATAAAAAATAGGTGTGGTTTGTTGAAGAAAATGTGTCACAGGGTGAACCTAGAGGTGTCAAAGGCCCATGCTAGTTCCACTCTCTCTTGGGCTATGAATCAGGATGCAGCTCTTCTCTACTTGCCAATGACCATGCTCCTTGTCATGGAGATAATGAACTAAACCACTGAAAGTGTAAGAAAATCCCAATAAAGTGATTTCTTTTATGAGAGTTGTCTGGATCACAGCATTTCTTCACAAAAATAAAACAGTGACTAAGACAAAGAGAGCGAGACACTGATACTAGTGCTGGTGTTCAAGGGATGTGGAACCCACCATCATGGAATTAAAAAAAAAAAAAAGAAAAACACCTTACAATCCTACATCTCACCAAAGCTTATTGACCACATGGATATCAGCATTCATTACATGTATTCATTTAATTTAGTGAACTCAGTCGTGAGAATCTTAATGTTCAATCCTACTATATTTCAACACAACTAGCAATTTTCCTTGAAAAACCTATTTGTGATGATGTACACAGTTGATGAGACCAAGTAACATTTTTATATAATCTTAAGGGCAGAATTATAAGGCCTAATATCGTACATGGCTAGAATAAAAAATGTTAATGACCAAAAAGGAATATTTATAGTAGAACTAAATGACACCAGCTCCAGACAGTTATTATTAACTGTAATAAACATTCACTACTAATTTTTTTTACTTTTTTTCATCCAGCACTGTAATGGAGCATGTGCCCTAAATTTCCAGCATGGTTACCAGAAATTGTTTGATTAATGCTCTAGTGTGTTGTCAGTAGGGCATGATAAATCCTGAGAAAATAGAACATTTTTTTTTGCTTACTCTGCATTCTTTCCTCACCTTGAGCCACAAATATGGCAGTCAGAATGGCAATTCCCCTCAAAATCATGATAATCTGTTGGCATGTTTTACGGCCCATGTGATCAAGTACAAAATGCCCAATAAAATTGGCTGGTATTGCCACTGCACCAAAGAGACACTGCAGCAGCAAGATAGTATTGATACTCAGGTATTGTATGTGCATTAACAGGCCAGAAATTGATAATGTCATTAGAAGTCTGTAGTGGAAAAAGGGAAAAAAAAATCACATCACAAGGTTTAGAATTGATTTTCAACAGCTTGTATTATTAGCCCATGTTTCACTATGAAGGAATCTTGGCTTATTTGGTTGTTTACTTGTTGGGGAAATTTTTATAGCCACCATGAAATCATTGCATGATAAGGGAGCTCATAACTAGTGGTATACATAGTGGGTCCCAGCAGTACTTAGGGATTTTTTCCATATATTGACCTGTGTGAAGTTTACATCATCTACACATGTTCTTGAGTTGAACATATTTATACAATTTGTATTAGAAATTTTATCTTCTTTAAAGTGGAAAGAGACAAATAGCAAGTAACAATGTCCAAGTTTGTATCATGGTTGGCATTCTTAGCACCAGTCTGTGGTGATGAGCCTAGCAGGGAGTTTGAATGTACACACTCCTCCACTGTACAGCAAATTTTGTGTTGTTATACTCAAAATCCTTTGGCTCTTAGCTACCAACATTGTCATATTCTACCTCAAATCTGTCAGTGAAAAATCTCATATCTATATTGTTTCACATTGTGAGCCTACCTCACAAGGATCAGGAGACAAATCGGATTGGGCAGAATGGGAGAATGGAGCAGGTCTAGTGGAGAAGGTTTTGTCTTTGCTGCCTCCAGCTCATTCTTCATACCTGTTCTCAAAGCCTTCGAAAATAAAACCAACATTCCGTTTAACTGTCACAAAGTTATGGGAACTGTGGGACATTCTGGACACTTATATAAGAGCAGATCATAATTATCACTTCTATATACTGAAAATATGAACATCAAAGGCACATTTATAGCCAAAAATGTAGAATGAAATGAAAACTCAAGAGACAAAGAATACCCAGGGGATTTCTACTGTGAGGACATATTAAACAAAAGAATATAGATGGTTTTAAAACATTGAAAGGGACTAGAAATTTTTTCATACAAATCTTTGACTTGCTTGCTTAGGTTCACACCAAGGTACTTTATGTCCTTTGTAGCTATTGTGAAGGGTGTTGTTTCCCTAATTTCTTTCTCAGCCCTTTTGTCTTTTGTATACAGGAGGGCTGCTGATTTTTTTCCCATTCTCTGAAGAAAAAATTAGAAGAGGATATCAGAAGATGAAAATATCTTCCATGCTCATGGCTTGGCAGGATTAATATAGTAAAAATGACCATCTCACCAAAAGCAATCTACAGATTCAACGCAATTCCCATCAAATTACCAACACAATTCTTTACAGACCTTGACAGAAAATTTCTCAACTTCATATGGAATAACAAGAAATCCAGAATTACTAAAACAATCCTCTACAATAAAAGATCTTCTGGAGGTATCTCCATCCCTGATCTCAAGATGTACTATAGAACAACAATACTAAAAACTGCATGGTACTGGCATAGAAATCGACTGGTGGATTAATAGAACTGAATAGAAAACTTTGAAATAAATCCACACACTTATAGACACTGATTTTTGACAAAGATGCCAAAACCATTCAATGGAAAAAAAGACAGCATCTTCAACAAATGGTGCTGGCCTAACTGGATGTCTACATGTAGAAAAATGCAAATAGATCCATACTTATCACCCTGCACAAAACTAAAGTCCAAGTGGATCAAAGATCTCAACATAAAACCAGACACACTAAACCGCTTAGAAGAAAAAGTGGGAAAGAGCCCAGAACTCATTGGCACCGGAGACAATTTCCTGAACAGAACACCAACAGCACAGGCACTAAGAGCAGCAATAAACAAATGGGACCTCATGAAACTGAAAAGCTTCTGTAAAGCAAAGGACACTGTTGTCAGAACAAAAAGACTGCCTACAGATTGGGAAAGGATATTCACCAACCCTATATCTGACAGAGGACTAATATCCAGTATATATAAAGAACTAAAGAAGTTAAACAGCAACAAATCAAGTAATCCAATTAAAAATGGGGTACAGAGCTAAACAGAGAATTCTCAATAGAGGAATATCAAATGGCCAAAAAACACTTAAAGAAATGCTCAACGTCCTTAGTCATCAGGGAAATGCAAATCATAATGGCCCTCAGATTTCACCTTACACCCATCAGAATGGCTAAGATCAAAAGCTGAAGTGACAACACATGCTGGAGAGGCTATGAAGAAAGGGGAACCCTCCTCCACTGCTGGTGTGAATGTAAACTTGTACAACCACTCTGGAAATCAATCTGGCACTTTCTCAGACAATTAGGAATAGTGCTACCTCAAGATCCAGATATATAACACCTAGACATATATCCAAAAGAGGCTCAAGTACACAATAAGGACATTTGCTCAACCATGTTTGTAGCAGCTTTATTTGTAATAGCCAGAAGCTGGAAACAACCCAGATGCCCCTCAGTTGAGGAATGGCTACAGAAATTGTGGTACATCTACACAATGGACTATTACTCAGCAATAAAAAGCAAAGAAGTCATGAAATTTGCAGGTAAATGGTGGGAACTGGAAAAGATCATCCTAAGTAAGGTATCCCAGAAGCAAAAAGACACACAGGGTACATACTCACTCATAAGTGGATATTAGACATATAATATAGAATAAACCTACTACAATCTGTACACCTAAAGAAACTAATCAAGATGAAGGACACCAGGTAAAATGCTCAATGTTCAGAAAGTCAAAGAGGATGGATATAGGAGGAGGGAGAAAACAGCTAATAGGACATGAGCCTACCACAGAAGACCTCTGAAAGGCTCTACCCTGCAGGGCATCGAGGCAGATGCTGAGACTCAAAGACAAACTTTGGGCAGAGTGCAGGGAATCTTATGAAAGAAGTAGGAAATAGTAAATCCAGGAGTTCCACAAGGAGAGCAACAGAACCAAAGAATCTGGGCACAGGGGTCTTTTCTGAGACTGACACTTCAGCCAAAGACCATTCATGGAGATAACCTAGAACCCCTGCACAGACGTAACCCATGACAGTTCAGTGTCCAAGTGGGTTCCATAGTAATGGGAACAGGGACTATCTCTGACATGAACTGATTGGCCTGCTCTTTAATCACCTCCCCCAGGCCACAGAGGAAGACAATGCAGCCACTCCTGATGATACCTAATAGACTAGGATCAGAAGGAAGGAGAGGAAGACCTCCCCTATCAGTGGACTTGGGGAGGGGCATACATGGAGAAGGAGGAGAAAAGGTGTGACTTGGAGGGGAGGAGAGAGGGGTTTATGGGGGAATACAAAGTGAATAAATGTAATTAATAAAAATTAAAATAAAAAAAACATTGATAGGGTACTTGGGGCTGGAGATAAAGATTAGGAACCAAAAAGAAAAAAAAAAAAGATTAGGAACCAAAACAACTAATAAGTCATTTAGATTATGATCTAAAATACCATTTAGACCAATGAGCTTAAATACTAATTCCACTGAGCTTGGATTTTCACTGGTTCATAATGACTGAAAATAGACTCAGAAAAATTCTTTGCAGAGATTCTTTACTGCAACTTAGAAGTCATGCTACTTAAAGCAAAACATGGTATACTGTGTCTTTATGTCTGGAATTGTGTTGAAGATGATATTAAGATTTGAAATGCTGGTGGTGATATTTTGTAGGGTAAAAACCCTTCAGGAGGTAGGGTCTTCCTGTCAAATAGGTCACTCATGGTCTGGTCCTTGATTAGAGTCATGCATCTTGGCCCTCATAATCCGAGAATCCTCTGCCACCAGCACCTGCCCATCAAAATGCTGCCATATTCTTTAATTTGTGACCCAAACTGAGGTTTTTGCCCTTAATATGTTTCTGCCAGAATTTTCAATTATGATATTGCAAAAGAAACCAATAGGTACCAAACATGTGAAGTTGTTGCACAGACAAAACTGACTGTTTTTCTAGAAATATAATAGAAATTCCTGGAGCCACCAGCAGTATAATTAATGACACAGAGGCTTTTATATAGGTTAAAGCTTAGGCCTTTAGCTGGGGCACATTCTCAGCTACCATCTAGACCAAATGACCCTCACCTATGATTCACAATGTGGCTACCTCTCTGTTCCTATTCAAGTTCATCTGCTATCTTCTCTGTCTGCTTCTGAATCTCTCAACTTTGCTTTCTTCTCCCAGTGTCCCTCTTTCTCCTGGAAGTTCCACCCTTCATTTCCTGCTCCACCTATAGGCTATCAGCTCTTTGTTATATCCAATCAACAGCAAGAAAGCACCTGATACATCTCTTTGGCTGCCTAAGGCATTGAGGGCTGTTAAATAAATGAAGCCAATAATAGGCCATATAATTGACAATGCCAAAATCCTGTCAGCACTTAGCTCTCTGCTGGTACAGAATTAACTGTTGGAACTATGGAGACATTCTTCACACAATGTGAAGAAATATTACCTTAACACTGGGATTTGGGGTTTTACTATTGTGTAGGGGCAGGGGGAGATTTGAAGGAGTTCATAGCTAAAGGATAGGAAATCCCTAGGTTCTAGAGATTATTGGAGGATTGTGACTACATACTTAATATTATATGAATACATAAGTGAGATTGAATTCATACTGTGAACTGAGTGATTTGAGAACAAAATTTAAAGACTGTGCAGCATATAAGCTGTGTTGTGGTCAGACACAAAAACTGATAGATGTTTGTGCTCAACTAGATTAATCTGTTTTCTATTATCCAAGCCTCAAGCCCAGAAATAATGTCCCTCCTCCTTGAGGATGCATTTTCTCACCTCAGTGAAACTAAGTCAAGATGATCTTGTGCAGAAATTTTAAGAACCTAAACTAAACTAGTCCTTCATATGTGTACCTACAGGGCAGTCTTCCAGGTGATTTTTGATACTTTTCAGATTAGGAAACAACACTAGCCACCAGAGCAAACTCCCTCTATTTTTTGTGAGGTGTTTCTTTTTTAATTAATTTTTTTTTATTTAAAGTTTATTCACTTTGTATCCTGTGGAGAGCCGCTTGGGCATGCCCGGGCAAAAACGCCATTACAAGATGGTGCCGACATCTGGCTCTGGCCCTGGAAGACAAGTAATATTACGCATGCACAAGGGCAAAAGCGAGCCAAGTCTTGGCCCAGCCCAGGGCGTTTTGTGAGGTAATGAGTAAGCAGCCAATCATAGACCACACGCCGCCTCAAGGAGTATATAAGCAGTGCCATTCCTGGGCTCAGGGTCTTCCTCTCTCATCGCTTGACTGCAATAAAGCTTGCTGCAGAAGAATCCTGTTGTCCGTGTGCGTTCTTGCTGGCGAGATGACCACGCGGGTTGCAGCAGTATCCCTTCCTCATTCCCTCCCAATCCCACCATCTCTCACTCATCTTCTCCCATGCCCCTCCCCAAGTCCACTGATTCCCTCTGACCCTAGCCTATCAGGTCTCATCAGGACTGGCTACATTGTCTTCCTCTGTGGCCTGGTAAGGCTGCTCCCCCTCCAGCAGAGGTGATCAAAGAGCCAGCCGCTGGGTTCATGTCAAAGACAGTCCCTGTTACCATACTAGGGAATGCACTTGGCAAAGGGGTCTTTTCTGAGACTGATACTCCAACCAAGGACCATGCATGGAGATAACATAAAACTCCTGGACAGATGCAGCCCATGGCAGCTCAGACTCCAAGTGCGCTCCCTCTATTATTATTATCCCCAAACACACTGTCTTTAATCCCTGGCCTTATTCTTTTCCCCAACAGTCTCATGGGCATTTAATGTTGAAAAAAAAAATGCATGCAGGTCAGCTACACAGTCTTCATAGTCTTTAACATTTTCTGCACCATTTGAAAGCCCAAAGTCCTATGAATGTCAGCAGCTACACCCATAAAGTCTCACCAACATGACTGCCTAAATGTGATCTGGACAAGACAACAGACATGGTAAACTGGACAAGGGAGAGCCCTCAATTCTCAACCTTAGATGAAGAATTACAGGAAAGGAAGGAATGCTGAGAGAGAAAAAAAAATATTCTTCTCCTGAGAAAAGGACATCAATTTGGTATCTAATACCAAGTGATCAGCACTAAAAACATACATACAAGTAACATTACATACACTGAGTAGGTTTATAGTTATGTATTTAGAAATATAAACATATACATATAACAAATTATATAGCAACAATTAATGCAAAAATGTCTTGAATTTTAAAGGGAACCTAATAGGTATATGGCAGGATTTGAAGGGATAAAAGAGAAAGGGAAAATAATATAATTATATTATAGTATCAAAAATTAAATTAAATGGTATTAAAAAGTCTAAAATTCAAGATTCCTCTGAGATTCAATGCACTCTCTAAGCTTTATGTCCTATAAAATAAATCAAGGTTTTATTTCCAATATACTGCATTAAAATGAGCATTCTCTTTCCAAAGGTGAAGAATAAGGACATATGAAATAACAAATGGTCCAAAACAACACTAAAACCCAGCAGAGTAAACATTAAATCTTGTAGTTTTTTCTTAGCTAAGGTTTCTATTGCTGCAATTAAACACCATGACCAAAACAGGAAGACACTGATGCAAAGGCCATGGAGGAGCACCAGTTTTTTGGTTTTGTTGTTGTTTTGTTTTTTGCTTGTTTCTCATGGTTTGTTCAGCTTGCTTTCTTATAGAACCCAGAACCACCAGCCCAATGATAGAACAACCAACATGGGCTGGGCCCTCCCCCTTCAATAATTGATTAAGAAAATGTCTTACAGGCAGATCTTATGGAGGATTTTCTCCACTAAGGCTCCCTTCTTTCAGGAAGTTCTAGTTTGTGTGTCAAGGTGACATAAGACTAGCCAGCACAAGTTTTATATTTTCAGTTTGTGGTTCATAACTAAATGCCCTAGGTGCTAAGGTTAGGTATCATACCTCTCCAGCTATATTGTTTTGAGCACATATACCTTTTATCTTAAGGCAGCTATACTCTGGACATGCAGTGTTCTTCAACAGACTGTTAAATGAGTAATCCTAAATTGAATATCTATAGCATTATTTCCAAGGGTCAGTCACCATAATGAAAGAAAGTTCAAATACAGTGTAAAGTTAAATGGAAGATATGAGATGCTATGTAACACTGTCTTCCAGACATGACATGGCCATTGTACTCTTGAACTCTCAACAGATGTGATTATCTGCACAAGACCTACCTAAAACTCAATCAATAAAATATCATTATCTTGAGGAAGGATGGACAGTTAATGATTGCTTGGGGAAAGGGAGAGGCTTTCTTCAGGGATGTAGCCCTTTGTACATTGACTATGCTTCTGTAAGTAAATCTTCATCATGCTTCTCTAAGAAATCTTAATTTATCTTATTGGTTCACCAAAAAATAAAAAACAGAAGCAAGAAAGTATTTGGGAATTTGGGGGAAGAGGAAAAGATTTATTTTTATCCCATTGTTATCCTAATATTTCCCTCACACTCTGGAATATGAGAAGAATAAGGGGATAACAGTGAAAATTATCCAAGCAGCTTATCTACATATGTCAGAATGAAGCCTACTATATATATATATTATTAACATATTCTGCTAAAAAGTTTATTTTGTAAAGGAAATGCTCTGAATAATAATTTTACAAAATGAATTCAAGAAATAGAAGAGTGAAAATATCAATGCTTTTAGTCTCACTAAAATGAAATCCCCACATGGAATGTTCTTAGTGATAGCATATTGCATCTAAGATACTAACTCATACATGTGTCAAGCTTGTATTTTTTATATCATAACCTGCTCCCATCATGCTCACCTCCATGGTTAGGTCATCTCCGGAATTCTTCATTCCATTCATTTATGCAACTTTTCTAAGTTCTTTTAAGCCCTTCTGGGGTTTGTTGGTCATGATCAGCCAGCGAGCTGACTCTGACATCCACCTTGGCAAGAAGATGTACATAGAAACAACACTAGTACTTTCATTTTCCATACAAAATTTAATCTTCAAAATTTTTGTTCTTTAATTTAATACCTACCACACATTCTGATACATCAGTCCTATGATCTTGTATTGTCTAACTCCTTTATTAGGAAAGTGGGGAATAATTCAGCCATATAGTGCACTGTACTTCTGCAATACAGACCCAGAGTCACAATGGTCTGTCTCCCTCTGCCTGGATATACATTTGTAGTGTGGCTCATAGAACTAGTATATGAGGGATACTTCCACAGACATATACCAAGTTTCTCATTTGGGTATAGGAAATATTGTTTAATAATGTGTTCTTTTCCCTAAATGAACAGCATTGGATAAATGTTGCATACTAATTATATTATCCAAATTGCGTTTATAACTGCATCTAATCACAGTTTATCACTGCTTGTTGACATCTGGCCACACAAGCATGGTAAATCTTCCCCTACTTCTTATTTACATGATGGGAGCAGCTGCTTAGCAATGCTGATAGACCTGTTTGGATGATAAAATGGTATGGCAGATGAGTCTGCCAGAAGGTTTTTGTACTTGTCAGTATGAACTCATCTTTTTGTATCAAGTCTGTGGTCACCTCTTGGAGTCATTTCTAATCAAGTATGTCTCTTCTCATGGCCTGTGGTAGCATTTTTAAGTCTTTTTAAAAAGAGGAAAGAAAGAGGATCCAGACACCAAATGAGAGACATAGGTACTTCTGTATATACATCTCATCTGGAGTAATCAAGTTCATTCTACATTGAATAATGGAAATAAAATTTTCTTTTTATGTCCTTTACCCATGTCACCTGAAAAATGAAAGTCACCAAAATTTCCAAAATGTTTTCCCTGGCAAAGTCATTTGTACAAATACCACCACAATGAATGCTGTCTATGCCCAGAGATTTCTCAGTTTGTAGGAAATGCTTTTTGTAAAATTCTATTACCGACTGGTCAATTAAGGCTTCATAACAAAATGTGTCAGTCAGAGTTCTCTAGAGTCCCAGAACTTATCTATTTATATATCTATATATAATGACTAGTTTCCAAATAAAAATAATAACCAGTCCATAATAACATCTAAGCATAATATAAATATCCCACATATAGTGGGATATATCAGAAATGCATGATATAATTGTCTCTAACACAACAGCAAATACATTATAATTTAGAATAGGTGACAACGTCCCTTGCAAAACATTCTTTTAGTATATGGAACTTAAATATGATAACCAATGATATTCTTAATTAATGTTATATCACATGATAATGAAATTGAAAGAAAATACAAATATCTGTACAAAAAAATTTTTCAGATTTTTTTAATTTTTTAATTTTTTATTTATTACAATTTATTCACTTTGCATTCCAGCTGGAGTCCCATCCCTTATCCCTTCCCAATCCTGCCCTCCCTTTTCTTCTCCCATGCCCCTTCCCCAGTCCCACTGATAGGGGAGGTCCTCCTCCCCTTCCCTCTGACCCTAGCCTATCAGGTCTCATCATGACTGGCTGCATTTTCTTCCTCTGGCCTGGTAAGGCTGCACCTCCCTCAGGGGGAGGTGATCAAAGAGCCAGCCACTGAGTTCATGTCAGAGAGACAGACCCTGTTCCCCTCACTAGGGCACCCACTTGGACACTGAGCTGCCATGGGCTACATCTGTGCAGCGGTTCTAGGTTATCTCCATGCAAGGTCCGTGGTTGGGGTATCAGTCTCAGAAAAGACCCCACTGCTCAGAATTTTTGGCTCTGTAGGTCCAAAAATATTCTTAAAAATACAAAGAAACACTCATGTCAACTATAATCCTCATTTCTCTAACTGGCCACATGGCCTAATGTGGCATTTATAACTACTTTCCTCTACAACCCATTCTGTATTTCCTTCGTTCTCAGCAAGAACTTCCACAAGTCTTGGCTTCCTTTCTGTACCTTCATTCCAGAAGAGTTGGTGCACTCTGTATTCCTGCCTGGATTAGGTTGTAGTTTCTCATTGATTTTACTCACAAGGACATAGTAGCACCAAGAGATGACATAAAGGATCTCTAGCACTCTAGACATAATCTTTCTTACTAGCATTGTGGAGAAACAAACCAATTTCTATATGGTAATATGGATTAATCATCCTTCCAACACTGTTGCTCTTTTCTTAGCCTGGTAGTTTAAAGGCATTAGTAGCCCAGAGTGACTGGAAAGAAGTCTGAGATTCCATTTCAATGGAATGTTGGTTATGGCTCCTGGTAGAAATATTGCCCCTCTGAAACCCAAATTTATAGGTCAGCAGAACCTAGGGTCATGAGAACAGAAAGCAAAATTTTCCTAGTTGGTTACTAGTGATGATAGTGAGTGAAACTACTCCCTTTTCATGGACCCGTGAATTCTGGCTATGGGAAAAACAGTACCATAAACTGAATTCTGATTCAAACCATATACTGCCTTTTGGAGAACCCTACCCCAGCCCTCCAGGCTGCTACTACCTAATTGTTTTTTTAATTAAATTTTTTTATATTAATTACAGTTTATTCTTTTTGTGTCGCAGCTGTAGCCCTCTCCCTCCTTTCCTCCCAATAACACCCTCTCTCCCTCATCTCTTCCTCTGCCCCTCTCCAAGTCCACAGATAGGGGAGGTCCTCCTCCCCTTCCATCTAACCCTAGTTTATCTAGTCTCATCAGAATTGGCTGTATTGTTCTCTTCTGTGGCCTGGCAAGGTTGCTCCCCCAACAGGAGGAAGTGGTCAAAGAGCAAGCCACTGAGTTCATGCCAGAGACAGTCCATGTTCCCCTTACTAGGGTACACACTTGGATACTGAGCTGTCATGGGCTACAACTGTGCAGCTGTTCTAGGTTACATCCATGAATGGTCCTTGGTTGGAGTACCTAATTCTAATTAGCACTGTAACTATGTCTTCAAAAAGCCATTCCATCTCTCTCTCAGGCCAGATGTTTCAAGACAGTGGGGAACATGGTAAGACCAGTGGACTCCTCAGGCTGCAGAGATAGTTCCTTAGTCAGAGCAATAATGTGTGGAATACCAAGATGGTGGATAAGGCTTTCTGAAAGTTTAAAGATGTTAGTTTGGCAAAAGCATTACATGCAGGAAAGGCAAATCCATAACACAAGTAACTCTACTAAGGACAGAGTGTTGTCTTTTTGACAGTGTAATCAACCTGCCACCAAGTGGCTGGTTGGTAACTCTGGGGAATGGTGCTATATTTGGAGCTCAGTGTTGGTCTCTGCCATTGTCAAATCTGACACTCAGCATCAGGTATAGCCTAGTCAATCTTGGTGAGTGGAAATCTATATTGTTGTGTCCATGGTATAAGTCCCATCTCTGCCACCATGGTCACTTTGTTCATGGTCCCATTAGGCAATGAAGGAAAAGATGGAGAAGGAGGTTGACTCTCCACAGAACAGGCATCCTATCTACTTGATTACTGAAATACCCCCCCAGCTGAAGTCACACGCTGAAGAATATTTACATGGAACATAAATATCTTCACATCCTATGCCCATTTGGAGAGATCTAGCCACATACTTCTTCCCTACATGTCTTTCTCACCAATTTTCCAATCATGTTACTTCCAAGTTCCTGACCATCCAGCTAATCTACTGGCTACAGCCAATGAATCAGTAAACAATTGCACATATGGCTATTTCTACTTCCAAACAAACTGTAATACCATGTGTTCTGCCTAACATTTTCTCTACTGTGAAGATTTCTTTCACAAGTGTCTTTTGGTGGTTGTAGTGCCATAGCTGTCCACTTCTGGGTGGTGCCTATATAACACACAAAACCATTAGATAACAGGTCCTGGTCTTCTTTTTGATAGTCATCCAATCTTAGGGAACACCCCATGAGGGTATAGGTACATGCTTGGTAGCAGAGAGCGTTGGAACAGAAGTAGAAACCATAGGCATTTAGGTGACTTCTTTGCTTAACTTGCTTGTGCCTTCAGGATCTGCTTGAGCCCGATCATGTAGATACCACTTTCATTTGATAACAGATTGATGCTGTGCATGACCTGCATTATGACTTATTGGGTCCAATAACATGATGGGAAGTTCAGGTCACATGGTAACTTGATGGACCAAAGTCGAACATTTAATTTCCACTAAGGCCCAATAGCAGTCCAAGAGCTGTCTTTTAAAAGAAAAATAGTCGCCTGCAGATTATAGTAGAGCCATGCTCCAAAATCTCAAAGCTCTATTCTGTTATTCACCTATAGGGGCCTCCAAAGGCTTCAAACAAGATCCCTATCTGCCACTGACACTTCAATTATAATTGCGTCTGCTGGATTACATGGTTCAAATGTTAGAGCAACCTGCACAGCAGTCTGGACCTACTGAAGAGCCTTTTCTGTTCCAGGTCCCACTCAAAGCTTGCAGCTTTCTGAATCAATCAGTGTATCATTCCTCACACCTAAGTGAGGAATGTACTGTCTCCAGAATACAAATAGACCTACTAAATGCTGTGTTTCTTTCTTGGTGGTGGGAGGGGCCAGGTACAATAACTTATCCTTTATCTCAGAAAGGATATCTCTTCATGTCCCACATCACTGGACTTCTATGGATTTCACTGTAGTAAAAGACCTTTGAATTGTGGGTGGATTTATTTCCTGTTCTCTGATGTGCATATGGGTTATCAATGATTTCAAAGTAGTTGCTACCTCCTGCTCTCTTCATCATTAGGACTCTACTGTTAAGCTGAAGTCTATCATTTCCACATAATTTCTGAGCTTGGTCTATTATGACAGACTCCCCTTTTTAGTGGGGTTCTCTCTTCACCTGATCTGAGGAACCCCACATCCTGTCAGGAGTTTCACAAAGCCCTCAGGGAACATTACAGGCCCAACCCTTTCCTGTTAAGAAACCTGCTCAGCAAGCACCTAGGGATTCCTGGAGATACCCATCCTATGCTAATAAGATGTATTGGTGTCTTGGCTTTCAACCAGTGGCCTTTAACTTTACTTGGAG